GGCACTATAATCCCCACTATAAAGGGGGAGGAAACAGAAATACCTCATTCATTCATTTATTCATTCATCCATTTATTTGATCAAACATGATGGTACAAATATACTAGTAATGTATGCCATATCAAGTCATAAAATATTTTTAAAAATAACTGAAATAAGTCTGAATGTGGAGATCCTATTTTTCCTAAGGACAGAAAATTTAATTTAGCCAATTCCACATGCACTTCTGTTACCCACAAATCTCTCCTGTCCCCAAATCAATTCTGGTTTAAATATAATCACTTTATCACGACTCCCCCTGTTCTTCAGAGGGTATCTTCTAAATCCTTTAGGGTGGGGTTAGGGTAGGTGAGGTGGGGAGGCAGGTGCAGGGGAGATATCCAGTTCTCAGATGCAAACACCCTTGGCTTTGGCCTTGGAAGTTAACATTCAATTTTCCATTGTGTTTGGATCACTGACCTATGTACTCAGCTCTGTCCTTCCTTATTCTGATGTCTAGGCCTTTCAACCCTCTGTAGTCCTCTCTCAGCCCCTTTGAATGGTCTTTAATGCTATAAATACTAAATCTTGGACAGGTTTGGGCATATTATTTTATGTAAACACTAGAGGCCCAGTGCACGAATTCATGCATAGGTGGGATCCCTTGGCCTGGCCGGTGATGGGGACCAGTCAAGTTTGGCCGGCCAGCAGGGGGAAGGGACTGTGGGAGGTTGCCTCTGGCTCTTCATGCCCAAATATTTTATGTAAACACTAAAGGCCCGGTGCACGAATTCATGCATGGGTGGGGTCCCTTGGCCTGGCTGGCGATGGGGGCCAGTCAAGGTTGGCCGGCCAGCAGGGGGAAGGGACTGTGGGAGGTTGGCCAGCTGCGGGAGGTTGGCTGTGAAAGCGCACTGACCACCAGGGGGCAGCTCCTGCATTGAGCATCTGCTCCCTGGTGGTCAGTGTGTGTCATAGCTACCGGCTGGTTTTCTGGTCGTCTGGTCGTAACAGTCACTTAGGCTTTTATATATATAGATTCTATTCTCTGTTAGCTTATTAGAGAGAAACCTTAGGACCTTGGTTGCTTTTCTGATTCCCTAGTCACCCTAGGGATAGAGCTTAGATCTCTGTCTTCAGATCTTTTATTTTTATTGATTTTTAGAGAGGCAGGGAGAGGGAGAGAGAGATAGAAACATTGATGAGAGAGAAACATCAATCAGTTGCCTTCTGTACATCCCCTACTGGGGATGGAGCCCAAAACCCGGGCATGTGCCCTGACCAAGAATCAAACCTTGACCTCTTGGTGCATGCGTCAATGCTCAACCACTGAGCCTCATTAGCTGGACTCTGTCTTCAGATCTTAAAACACATATGGGGTTCTAAAATTTCTATCTCCATAGGTTCTTTCAAAAGAAGCTAATCCCAGGGACTGGAGATGGGGGAGGTACAAGGCTCTTCTTGGGGATACATGCCAATACCTCTAGAGTGAGAAAATTGGTTCCCCTGTGTTTGTGGCAGATTACATTATTGTTTTACAATTAACCCCACCACCACCATCACCATCCTGTAAGAAACATTATAATCCAAGCTCACTGCCATGTGATTTGATGACAGAGGCAGTAGAGTCCTCCATTGACTTGGGGTTTGACCATATGAAAGGCTTTGGTGAATGGGCATGCCATGACACATTGGAGAAGCAGCTTGCAGTCCTCACATTTCCCACAGTTCTCTGGCTCTTCTCATCTGCCATGAGAATTGTCAAGTCACATATAGCGTCTGCTTCTTCAGTCTTGGACCTGGAATAAGAAGACCCATAAGCTGCCCCATAGCATGAGATCCAAGCAAGAAATAAACCTTCATGGCCATAAGCCACTGAGATTTTAGTGTTGTTTGCTTTTTTTTTTAAATTAAATCTTTATTGTTCAGGTTACATTTGTTCCTGCTTGGACCTGGAATAAGAAGACCCATGAGCTGCCCCATAGCATGAGATCCAAACAAGAAATAAACCTTCATGGCCATAAGCCATTGAGATTTTAGAGTTGTTTGCTTTTACAGCAAAATGAACTAATACATTGTTTGTGGTCTAATTTCTTTTTTCTTTCAGCTCTTCTCTATTGACTTGGGGTTTGACCGTATGAAAGGCTTTGGTGAATGGGATTTGAGTGGGCATGCCATGACACATTGGAGAAGCAGCTTGCAGTCCTCACATTTCCCACAGTTCTCTGGTTCTTCCCATCTGCCATGAGAATTGTCAAGTCACATATAGCGTCTGCTTCTTCAGGCTTGGACCTGGAATAAGAAGACCCATGAGCTGCCCCATAGCATGAGATCCAAACAAGAAATAAACCTTCATGGCCATAAGCCATTGAGATTTTAGAGTTGTTTGCTTTTACAGCAAAATGAACTAATTCATTGTTTGTGGTCTAATTTCTTTTTTCTTTCAGCTCTTTAGGAGCTAAACTCATGAAGTCAGCTATCCCAAACCAAAATGTCTGACTTATGAACTGCTGTCACTGCCATGAGCTCCATATGTCTACTAAACAAACCTTTGAGAACTGCATTCTTCTTTCTCCCCGAGGCAAGGGAGGACATGCCCTAGCTCTCTGGGAGGAGGAAAAGACTAGGGGCAGAGGACATGGAAATGTGTATGAGTGTGCATGCAGAGCTATCGGGTGGGGTGGCTCAGTTAATATTTCAGATTTTTATACTAACATACAAAATGGCATAAAACAATGAAAGATAAAATTTGAAAACTCCAAGACATGTATCCTTCCTACAGCGCAGGAGTTTATAGGGCAGATGAGTCGTCATCTAGGAAGATAGGTGGGATTTGAAAATGCAGGGATGCGGGGAGAGCCTTTTGCTGCAGATGGATCTAACTCACAAAGGCAGGTAAGTGACTGGCATGGATAGCGCAGGAGTTTATAGGGCAGGTGAGTCATCATCTAGGAAGATAGATGGGATTTGAAAATGCATGGATGGGGAGGGGAGAGCCTTTTGCTGCAGATTGATCTAACTCACAAAGGCAGGTAAGTGACTGGCATGGATGCAGCCCCATAAGTAAATGTGACTGTTCTGTTCAATGTCTGAGAGACTGATGGGAGGTCAGGTTGGAAAGGCAAGCCCATTTGTGGTCCTAGTTAAAGCGTGTGGACTGTGAAGTGGCCAAAGACAGAAAAAGGGTGGGAGAGTAGATTTCAACAGCATTTATTTATTTTTATTTTTAAAAAAATATATTTTCATTGATTTTCGAGAGGAATGGAGAGGGAGAGATAGAAACATCAATGATGAGAGAGAATCATTGATCAGTTGCCTCCCACACGCCCCACTGGGGATTGAGCCAGCAACCTGGGCATGTCCCCCCTGGAAATCGCACCATGACCTCCTGGTTCATAGGTTGGCGCTCAACCACTGAGCCACGCCAGCTGAGCTGCATTTATTTTTTTAAAAAAACAATGTGGCCATTTTTAATTTTGATACATAAAGTCTGTATATATATAAACAGTTGGAGAATCAGTTGAGAAAAATTTTGTTTTTTATCTAGGCACGATGGATTACTCTCCCCAGATGGCCTGTGGACACTAGCTGGGTGTGTATGGTTGCTAAACACTCACTGTGTTTATGAAGTCATTTCTGGAAAAGTCAATCTGGTTTGTGGGTAGTCGTACAGGATGGGGTGTTACAGCCAAAGAAACAGCCTTCATTTCCTGCAGTAGTTTGCCTATTACTAGGGTCTTTCTTGCTATACTTAGATCTCCTTGACATTTTTACTAATGATTAAAAAATAAGCACCCAACGCAGTAAACATACTTACTGACACTGAACTATACACTTAAAATGATAATGGTGAATTACATTTTACCACAATAATTCCCTCTCCACCCCCCAGCAAATCTTCCTATGAGATAATTTACAAATTATTCTAATTTTAGAGCTAGAATTTCCTCAGCTTATCTCTCAGTATCAATCCTGAAGGCGTCAAAGTTGACTATGAGAACATGTGACATTCTAGCGTTAGCCAATCTCTTACTGGCTTTTCCTGTCTTGCAGACTAGGCTCCAGGGGTCAGGAGAAAGTCTTCATATTTCTTGCCCATGCTAGTGTAGGGGATAGGGTAAGTGTGTGTGTGTGTGTGTGTGTGTGTGTGTGTGTGTGTGTGTGTGCGCGCGCGCGCGCGCGCTCATGTGTGATTGGGACCACTGAGTCCGCAGCCACGCTCCTCCTCCTCCATCCTGGGGAGAAGTGCAGTTTAAGGTTCTGTTGTAGTTTAAAGGGTCCTGGACCTTTGGCAGCTTTAGCCCGCAGCCCCCAGACTGAGGGCGCAGCTGGGGTGAAAGCGCTTAGCATCTCAATGACAGTGGATGAACGGTGCACAAGCTGTGCCCGGGCTTCTGGTCTGAACCAACTTTCCAGGGTCTATGATGAGCATCTCTCAGGACCTGTTCGCTGAGACCGACGGTGGGGCTTGCTCCTTCTGACTCCCGCCTGGGTTCCCCATCCCCGCCCAGGGCTCCCGGGTGCGCCGGTCCACTTCTCACCCCGCGCGCCCCG